GCTTCGTCGAGGAAAGAAATCCTAATTCATAAGCTTGCAAGTGATGATGATAAGTCGGTAAATAACTAAATATTATTTTTTATTTAAAAAATATTTTTAATATTGATATATTAATACAATAATACCAAAAAACTAGTTTCAAAACCAAAAAAGATTCAAGATTTTTTTAGCAACATTATTTGACATGGACATAATTATATGCACCCAATAATTTATTTTAATAGCATGAAACATGACTGTAAATTATTATAAAAGTTGTAAGAATTAATGAATCCCAGTTGCAAAACTTTTTAGCAAATGTTTAGGAATGACATTAACTTTAATGTGCATTTTGTAGAGAACAAATACAACATTTGGGGGTCAAGTTAGAAATATTATGGGGTTTAAGGGATACTATGAAAATATTTTGAAAACTATGGGAGGCCTTGTAATAGTTTTTAAGGGATTGATGCAAAACAGACTTGAAAATAAGGACTAAATTGATTTTCTAAAATTGTTGAAGGGCATGACCGTCTTGATAAATTCCATGTCTTTCTCAAGCTGGCTATATTGAAAAGTCCATGTTCCAGCTGAAATGCTCTCGCTTGGCTGGATTGAGAATAGATCTTCTTCAAGTGTTTCCACGAATCAAAAGCCTTCTTGCAGCATATAAGCTCACAGCTGTTTCTTGATTCACAGGGTTAAGCAGCCATGTTATTCTTAAATAACACATTTAATTTTGTTTTATTTATTAAAAATAAAATAAAATTTTAATTTTAATTTTAATTTATATATAATTTCTCTATATAAAGATTAAGTAAACACTTTAGAATAAACAAATTAATGAAAATTTTAATATTTACCTTTTTTATATTTGTTTTTAGTTTATGTTAATCTGAATTAATTTAACATAGTATTGGAGTTGATTTTGTAAAACAAGATTTAATCTCAAATATAATTTTTTAAAGTGATATTTTATCTTCAGTTTTTATAAAATTTAATATTTTGTTTTTTCTTCAACTTAAATAATTTGATATTTACATTTAGTTTATGTAATTATTTTGATATTTTATCTTCTTTACCTTCTCCTTTTTTTTCCCTGTTAATTAGAGGGAGGTTACTTCATCATTTTCCAGTTGTGTACAAACAATTTATGCAATCTATTTAGTTAGAAAAACTGTATCATATTATATGTGTTGGGAATTCCGACCGGTGATGTACTGATATTTGCTCATAGGAGGCCAAGCACACTGACACAATATTTAACGTGGTTCAGCAAAACCGCCTACATCCACGGGAGAAGCCATTGCATTATGTAGGGAGAGTACAATATTTACAATAATAGAGGAGGAATCATCCTCTCTTTGAGCAACTCTCAACCTCACTCTATTTCTCTCCTTTTGTGCTGCAATGACAGCCCACTCTCTCCTACATTTCTCACCTCTTTGGCTCTACTTCCTCTCTCTCATTTTGCTCTCTAACATATGCCTCTATTTATAGGCATTCATGGAGGCTATTCTTGGTTTGTTGTCAACATTTGTGGCTACCAACTCTAGCTCATTCAACAATGGTGGCCACCAACTCTAGCTCATTCAACAATGGTGGCTACCAATAGTCAATGGTTGGTGCCATCCATTTGTTGCACATGAAATGGCAACCAACCTAATAATATGTACATTGAAAAAATTGTCGTAATTTCTTTTTAATTAACAAGAGTTCCACTAGTTCATTCACTTGGTTACACAAGAAATCTAGAAAATCATATGGAGGAGACCTGACACAATTTATGCAAGCGTTTGAACATGCCATGCAAGAACATGAGAAGAGTCGAGACTCGAGTAATGCAATTCTTGGTGAAATCAAGCCCAGATCGATCCGTGTCAACATTATAAATTGTCAAGCAATACTTGATCTACATGCGGTACTTGTTTCTAAGCTTCTTCACCATTAGTGTTTAGTTTAATTTTCGCAAGCTGGATACATGATTCAAGATCAACAACGCACTAGGAAGGTGATCGGGGAGGGGTGTAGACATGGATGTTATTGACTTTGCTGAGGATTTGCCTTGTCCATGCATGCATCTAGTTTGATTGCCCTTTCAGTTTCTAGTAAAACTTGGGATTTGTTGTGCCGTCGTCTCGGTCACCCGCATCCTGATCAGAGGTCATGTTTGGCGTTAAAATTTATTTTTCCATTAAACGAAATCTCTCTCCATCAACATGCATGAATTGTCAAAGCTGTGCTTTCTTGAAAGTTTCACAATTTATACTTCATCTTTTGACTTGGTACATGGTGGTGTTTGAGGTCCATCGCCTGTAGTATCTCGCATGGGTTATAGATACTTCATCCTTCTCACTAGTATACATGGATATATGTTATATGTGCTAAGCCTGATGTCTCTTACATTGTGAAATCCTTTATGAACATGATGGAGACACAATTTCGTATACTGCATTAACCTTTTTCGATCAGATTCGGGGGGGACAGAGTACTATTGCAATTCTAGTTTACAAACTTTAATTTTCGGTCAGATTCTATGCTGCCAGAGCTAATTGCGACCAAGAAACCCAGCCTAAACGCTTCAACTGAGAAGCATATCACTAGAATGGCCATAAAACAAGCAGCAATAACGACAATAAACCAGTTGCATCTGCAGAACCGGGGCTGCCTTTGATAGCTGTTAGTAACCCATGTTACTAGGTCCGCATTCTGCTTTAGACCCATTGTAGCCAGCCAGCTTGTTATGTCTCTCAAACAACAAAAAGCTTTAGCTGACAGTTCCAAGAAACAAGCACCAGAGTCTACATTGGGACTGCATTAGGACGACGCTTTATAATATTACACATTCCTTTTATACAGATGAAAACACATCATTTACACCGACAAGATATTCAATCGGTATAAATAATTTTTCTGGTTGTGATTTGATATAATGCACAAGCAAGGTAGTCGAACAAAAACTTATAGAAAGCGAATCCATCAATTTAATAAGAATATGTTTAAAACATATATAAATCGTTTTAATAAGAACATGTTTGAAACATATATAACAATAACAAAGTAAATAGCAAAAACCAGGTTGGTCAAAACCAAGACATCACGAACAAAGACAAACAAATATTTGACGAGGAAAACCACAACAAATGTTAATAAATCATGTGACATAAGTAATGTTCAACCAGCAGATTTAATCGCAATGGAACTACCCCTCCATGTTAATTACACTTCGTTCGAAGCTGCTGCATGGCCAAGTTGGGGTCTCTGTTACTGTCAGATAGCAGTTTGGGGTAGGGTTTTCTTCTCCTTTTCTTTTCTTGAAAAGCAAAGACAGTTCATGTCAGCTTGGACAGAGATGAGCAACATGAATATGATGGTTGAACAGGGTTAGTTAACACCTGCACGCAGGGTCGAAACTAAGATTTCTAGGTTTGAGGGTGCTATCTGCAGGTCCACCCCAGCCTGCATTCGCTGATGGCTCGCATGCCTTCGAACCCTTTTTGGTCATACCACATAAGATGGCACGGTTTAAATAGGCTAGGGCCTTAAATCAGGAATTGGCTGAATTTTCCAAGATTTATTTGATTAATTTACCCTACAATCAACACACTTATCAACATGCTTCAATGATCATAATGCCAATCAAAGCATGGAATGGCTGGTTGAACAAAATAATCAAAACCATGACTTTTTTTTCTAGTTAAAACTGCTCCTGAATCATGCTGTGTTGTTGACACAACTTCTCTTCTGGATTTAAACTTGCTATCACGTGTGTTGATTACAATAGAGTAGTATGCTGCTTTTTAACACATTTGTTGATTGCAATTCTGAATTATTTTAAACTAATATAATGTGTAGATACTACTGCAAGATGTTGAGCCATTTAATTGTAAGCGTGAAGATTTCATGAGTAAAATGGAGCAGGAGTGCTCAAAATACTCCATTAGAAACTTCTAAAATTCTTACTATGCATGGAGATGCAGAAGAGAGAAATGGAGAGTAATTTTGATAAAAGACAGGAAGAGATTACAAAAACAAACTAAATCAACTCAGTATTTTCGTTTACTAAAACATAAATTATTGTGGATTAAAACACTGTAAAGATTAAATTGTCTTCCAAAAATATTAGCATGGCATGCAATTGGGTGTATAATTATCTTTTTAATGGAATATGTTTGCTATTGAAAGAATGATTGGAGATAAAATAATTTGTTTATTTTTTTTTACTACAATATAAATATGAATTTGCCCTAAATCACTTCATATAATTATCTTTTTTATGGAATATATTTTCTATTGAAAGATTAATTTGTTCATTTGTCCTTTATTTGTTTTGTTTTATTTTATTTTTGTGTCAAAGTTAGTTCCTTTTTTTTTAAATTTACATTTTTTAAAGCACTTCATTTTTTATTTTTTTTTCAATTTATCCCTAAATATTTTGGTTGGTTATAAAATTTATATTATTATTTTTTCATGTTAAATTTTTATATTATGTTAGGTTTTATAATACATGTTATAAAATTCTAAAGGTTGGACGGGTTGATTTTAGTTATCTTTCATTATTTTTTTTTAAATTTCATTCAAAATCATTGAATTAATTAAAAATTAGTATTTTTTATTTTTTTCTTTAATTCAAGATTTTTTTTCTCATCTCAATTTTTATTTTTAAATGAAGTTTTTATTCTCTTAATTACTATTTATTTATCTTTTATTATATTTTTATTTCATCATTCAATATTTTAATTATTAAGATTAGATATTTTAGGTTTTTTTAATTGTTTATAAGCTCCATAAAAAAGTTAATTAGAAATAATAATCAGGTCATGAGTGGAGTAGGTTGACTTAAGTGAACCTAAACCAACCAAATTATTTTATTTTATAAAAAAATTAAAATAATATTTTTTTTTAAATATAAATTTTAAATTTTTCTTGAACATACATTAATTCAGGTTTTTGATAATTTTAAACTTAAACAATTTTCCTCTATTTGTTTTTTTTTATTTGAGGCTCCGCCTAATCATCAGGTCGAGCCAAATTATTCCTCTGTTTTTACTAAAGCCCAATAAAAAATGAAAATCTAGGCTCACAAGTCATTTAGCCTTGTCTTCCTAAAATCAGCCCACGCCAATCTCCTCCTCCCTTCTTGCTCTTCAATTTCCAGTATTTTCTTTTTGCTGAGACATCACAGTTTTTAAGTGATTTTTATACAGGAATACAGACATGGCGGGATTGCTGGCGTGGGCAGCAGATGTAGTAGGATCCCATGGAAACAACCATGAATTATCAGAAGATAGAATCCCAATTGTGTTAACTGAAGATCAACAAAAGTATGTTCAAGAATTAGATTCAAAGGCTTCATCTTTGAGCCGTTCGATCCAGGGTCTACGGTTTAGATTGCCTTCACCTGATATCTCTCAACGTCTACCTCACATTCTTGCTCATTCTCTTGCCTCCAATGCTGCTCTTGCTCTTCAGTTGAATGCTCATTCTGCTACTAAAGAGCAGGTAAAGATGCTATCATTTGGGTAATTTAGGGTTTATTTCTATCCGGGCTGTTGTTTTTATTTTGGTTGTTTGTGATGGGTTTGTTGTTGAGTTGTGTGGTTTTTTGTTTGTGTTTCTGGGTTTTGGCATCTGGGTCTTTTGTGTTTTTGGATATGGTTGAAGCAGTGGGTTTTGTTATCTGAGGTTTGTGAATTATGGTTTGCAAAAATTATCTGTTGGTGTTTTTGTCTTGCTTTTACGTCTTAGGTTAGATTTTTACTTGTTTTTCTCATTCGGGATACTAACATTGGTTTTAGTTTCTATGGATAGTTCTTTTGATAAATATAGAAATTTGTGGTACAAATACGATCATGCTCAGGTGTTTCTCATTGTAATGCAATTTGCAATGCTTAGGGGTTATTGTATATTAGCTTATGTATTGCCATCGATCTCTTCAAGTGAAGGTTTTGAATCTTATATGCCTAAGGATTTCGGTATAGTTGTTTTGGATTATATGAATTATGATTTATACGACAGTTTAAAGAGATTTTGTTACATTTACTTTGTAAAGAAATAGGTGATCGATCTTTGTACTTTGTTTTGGGGGTTGGGGAATCTACAAAGGGATGCACTAGTTCTGTCCTCTTGCTCTCCAATGCGGGTATGGATTCGAGGTGCCAGGATCATTCTTGTGAGTGTTTTTTTAAACAACTAGCGTAAACTCATAACATATCAAATTTAACTGGTCAAAACTTGATCTGACTAAAAAAACATAAGACAAAGTTGTCCAAACTCCTTATTATTTTTTTTTTCTAAGTGATGTTTTCTTAAAGATAAAAAAAATTGAGTAGGTTGTGGAAAACTCTTTATAATATCACTAAACTTGACTCATTTAGTCAATTTTAACACCTCTCGACTTGATTACTTGTCTAGCCCGAGCTTAAGTTAAGATGTATGGGAATTGTCATGATGTGACTCATTTGATCTGATAAGTCCAAAAATATCCCAAACAACTAGTAAAACCATGGGTCAATTTAAAATAAAATAAAATCAAGATGATATATTTTCTTTTTATTTAATAGTGAGACGATGATGTATTAGATTACACTCAATCAACTAGAGTTAACCATTAAATTCCTAACCTGGGTCATGAACATGACTAAAATGCGCTAACATCTTTTCTTTTTTTTCCCCTTCCTTTATTCTCTACTTAATCGAACCTTCTTTGGGTCGGATGAAATTTAATATTAAATTGAAGAGTTATTAGAGAGTCGGAGATAAATTAAAAAGAGAGGGCTTGGATGAGAAGAGATTCAGGAGTCAATTGAAGAGTTATTATAGAATAATAAACTAAATTGTACAAAGGAGGCAAAAAAAAGTCTGGCACTTGCAATGCACGTGAGGAGAGCCACTGGATTGGGGCAATGCATGCAGCTTCCTTCGGCCTGGAAAGGTGGTTTTTTTGGGTGTCTCTGGAATCTTCTTGACAGGGCCTTCCCCCATGGCAGCATGTGGTGGCTACCTCGCCATGATGTGGCACTGATAATGATTTTTTGTTCTCTCTCTTTTTTTGTTCTCTCTCATCCCCTTGGATTTTGCAACTGAATTTTCTGCTCTTCTCTTCAGGGCTGCCTTTTTCTCTCATTGTCAATTACAGTCCCTCCAGTCTTAATTTCTTAGAAAACAGAAAACCCAAACAATTTTTCACAAGATTGATCATAGCAAGCAAACAAAAACAAAATATCAAGGCCTTGAGTGTGGAGCTACAACAATTGAAACAATTAACTGCCCAACTCTTTTAGTTTTTTTTTTTTGTTAATGTTAATTGGTGTACTACTTGTGCTTACTTTATTTGGTATTTGTTGGTTATTGGGTTAGACTTGTTCCGTCCATGATGGATGGGCCTGATCCAAGTTATTAGAGAAGTTACTAAAGGAAATAACCGCCTCCTATAATCATATATATATATATATAAAAGACATAACTCATATGAAAGAATATAAGTTTTCATAACTAAAAGAACATAGTTTTCTCTTTCTCTTTTTCTATCTTGACTCTCTGTATTGACTTAACAAGATTTACAAAGACGTTCGTACTGTGGAATATCACTTTGGTTTTAGTAATTGAAGTGACATTGAAATAATTGATTTAGGAATAAAAAAACAAAATCTCACAAGTAAGTTTTCCTTTCCAATCTTCATTAACAGAGATTGAGATCCATGATGAGAAATTGTCCGAGATCAGTGAAGTTGGTGGTGGGATTAATCCGCATGCTCAAAGACACAGTGTAATCTCCAGCACATGTAAATTCTTTTGGGTTGGGGTGAAGGAGTTGCTGCTACTCTAATCTATTAAGCAGTGACTGTGTCGGAGAGAGAGTTTCCAATTGCTAGGTGGCTTCTGAAGTAAAATGTGAATATGCAGCATGTGCAAATTAGTTTTGCATGATAAATGATAAATGGACATGCAAAGTTCCACCACTACGTGAATAAGTGCTCAAGTTGTGTTCAATTTTTTTGCAATTGAAAGCGCACATTCTGTCGAATCTTCTTGTTTTTTTTTTTTTTTCACTCTATGTAGACCAAGTTCAATTGGAAGTATCTCTCATAATACGTCATTAGAGTTTAGTTCTTTTATTTAGAAGAAGTGCAATTAGGAGGCATCAGTGGCAAGACATTAGGAAATTTTGATGTCCATTGCATGAAGGAATCATAAAAGTCTCGGGCTTGTTTAATAAGAGTGCATTCATCCATGCAAGGACATTGGTAGGATAGTCTTCAAATTCTCTTTCACAATAATCTAATCTAGTGAGACCATAACTGGGTAATGTCCTTAATATTGCACAACATTTTTTTTTTCAAATGGTTAAATGTAAAAGAATTTTGTTAATTTAAGCGTTCTCATTTGCTGAATTTCCGTAAACACAGAGTTTGCTACTTTTATCAATTCTATTTGTTACCTCTATGATTTCTACTTGACAAGACCAATCTATGTAGAAGCAGCATAAAATTTTAAAAAGAAATTTCCTTTTTAGTGTAATGTTAATTTGTGATGGTGAGTCCGTGACTTCTAATTCATTTCTGGGAACATGGACGAGTTCTGGTCTGAAGGCTGATCTAATTTCTATTAAATAAATTTATATGATTATTACCTTTTCACCAACCAGTACTTGGAATCTCCTTTTCGCCTACCAGTACTTGAAATCTATTTTTGTGACAGGCCCAATTAAGAAAGGTGACCCTCCAGGAAGAAAATGCTGCGTATGAAAAGGCTATATTAAATTGTGAAAATAAACTACAGGATCGAATGCAGGAAACAGATTTACTTCTTCAGAAGCTACAGGTCAGGCTTTACTTCCACATCTAATGCTACTCTGATCAGTAACGTGTTTTTTTTTTCCCTGTCATTGCTTCAGTCACCGTCATAACTACATATCTTATAGGAGTCCTAGGATATTTCTGTAAGCAATAATCTCCTGGGGTGTATTTTCTGTTCCAACAAAGAGACCTAGTTCTCCATTCACTTCCTATACTCGCTGTACAATTTGATGTTTGTTTTTATGAATTAATGTTAGGAAATGGATGAGACTGAGCAAACTTTGATGGAGGAGCTGGAAAATGCAGAAACTGCATTGGATGCCAGGCAAAGTGGAAAGTCTGTTGAATCATTTGTTGCATCTGAAACAATAGCCGAAGCTGGACCAGATGCAGAAGCTGAGAAGTCTGCTATATTAGAGAAGTTGGATAGCAAGAAAAAAGAATTGGTAGATTTGCTTTTCTTTGCCTCTTTCAAGCTTTCTTCCTCAACCTGGCTCCTTTTGTTATATGGTCTTGAAAATCTGCCTAATTCTCTCAGAGTTCAATGGAAGAAATTGTTCAAGATTTAGAGAAAAGGTGGGTGCAAGTTCAAGAGAATGAACTGAAGCAGCCTACTCCAGGTTTCTAATATTATCAATCTTCTTAAAGTTTGAGTTTCTTCATTTTTTATCCTTTTCTTTTTGTTTTTTGGGTGGGTCACAGTGAAAGAGGGAACTGAGATTAGATTTTAGTTTACATTTCTTTCCTTGCTTTCTGGAAGGTTGTCAAAGGGACAAACTTGAGTTTGTTTTTCACGTGTCAGCCATTGAAAACATATATTAAAGGCTAGGCTTTCACTGGAAAAGGATTACGACACTTGGGAAAGAGTTATGTATGCGAGGCTGCAAGGAGGATTACACCCAGCTGGTGGGGTTAGATTATTTGTCTACAGTAGATGTTCCTTGATGACCTCTTGAGTTGGTTGTTGAATGTCTTTCTTCCAATAACTCTACTAGCAGAGTTTTGTTAATTTTCAATGGTTAAACATATACCATGTTGTAATCAGTGACAAGAAAACATTTATAACCAGTATTTAGTTGAAAAATTCCCTCTCTTGAAGCAGTCACTTGCTCAACGGAATTTGACATGAAAGTAATTTTGCCACAGCTCAGAGAGAGAAGTTATTGAATAAACAGCTTCATAGCCTAATGGAGCAACTAGCAGCAAAACAGGTGGATTTTACAATTTATTACAAATTGACTGCTACTTGTGACTTCTGGATCAATGTGGAGTGGATATCTCATCGCATAAACACCAACTTTTCTAAATGCTGTCTTGTTTGTAGGCACAAGCAGAAGGCCTGGTCAGTGAAATTCATTTGAAAGAGATGGAGGTAGAAAGGTTGAAAGGATTGTGGAGGAAGATTGAGAGTAGCAATGAAGAGGGTAATACCGCCAGGAATCGGTTTGGAAGAAGCACCTCAGAGAAGGGTTCTGCTTCTACAGACTATATGGTTGACAAGCTACCTTATTCCACTGGTGGCCGAACTGAGCACCAACAGAGACTCATGCTTCTGCGGTCAGCTTTTGTTATGTACATTTTATTCTTGAACATTGTGGTCTTAATCAAACTTTCATTTTGAGAAGCATCAAGAGAAACTGTTGGTCGTCTTCATAAAATAACTTTTTTGGTGAACGTGAGATAATTTCGTTGTATATATCAGAATTCTGTAAAGAAACAAATAATATAGTACTGTAGGTTGCATGGACTAATACTCAAAATATACATATAAAATGAAGTTTACCGCTTCCTAAGTTCATGATTCTGCTAATTGCCGAAGTCAGTGGCTCTAAGGAATATACTTGTTGAAAAAGTTAGGGTAAGAGATAAAACTATCTAGCAAAGAGAGGGTACAGCACGCCTGGACAAAGACAAGAAAGTAATGAGCAGGGGGTGGAACATTGAGGAAAAAGGATGAGACAATGGCATTACAGGGAGGAAACAACATTATAGCTGCGATGCGTAGAGTTCTTGATGTTCTCAAATTGAAATTGACCTACAAGATGTAACACGTTGTTGGATGTGTACTTCATGAATCATGACAGTCATCCAATTCCAAAACATTCATCATTATCTCAAGTAGAGACATAATCAGTGAAGTACAGTGGATCAAACATGAAGAAGAGGATTAACGGGGTCCGGGTCAAGGAATAAAGATCTTGATTCTAGCAAAATTAGTTTCTCATTTGTACTCTGTTCTTAAGTTAAAAACCAAACTCAAAAGGTTTAGAAGTCTCTGCTTTTCAATTGTTTGCAAAATATGCTGGTCCATGGCTTCTCAAAATGCAGTTATTTGACAGTGTCAGGTGCTTCTCCGATAGGTGCGACTATTCTTCCGAGTAATGTGAGGGAACTTAACCACTTCATTTACTTGTAAATGATAAATAATTACAGAAACAAAGATTACAAAGAATAATAAATGGATGGTGTTGATAATATACCACTGTATTCATATTTTTCGTGAAATATTTCTCTGTAGCTTCTCATTGAAAGACCCCCGAGCTTCCCTCCTCATCATATAAAGCAAGAACTCATTCCAAGTGTCAATGGGGCCTGGCAAGCACCAGTGAACACAATCAGCTACAGTCACATTGCTATGAGGTGAGCGCCCATAATGGTTTGGGTGCCCATCTGGCCTCAGCAGCATTGCTTCTGTTGTAGCTAGTAGCTCAAATTTCAAGCCCCTCTTCCTCCCTTTTTTCTGTGCTTTCCTTAGTTCTTCAACTTGTGTCAGGTAGAATTCCAATTCATAACCATCAAGCTTCTTTTCCTCGGTTGTAAAGGGCACTGTCCTGATACAATTCCCTCCTTCATTCCATGCTCCATTTTCGAAGTGTGAAGGAGAAAACGTCCTTAAGAATGTAATTCCCTTGTAGTTCTTTAGGCTTTGAAGGGTCTTAAAGGCAGTTCCAAATGCCATTCTGTAGCCGAAGTACTTTGTAATAGCAGTAATGTTGTCCATGTAGCAGTTATGACAACCCACAACCTGACCATTCATGTAGTATATCAGAGGACGGAAGAACCATTGTCCAGCTGAGATGATCACATAGTCGAAACTTTCAATCTGACTAGCCCATGCCTCATCAGCTTGGTCTAAGTAAAGGCTCATCAGGCTGTTGAGGGAATGACCACTGGGGTCTGCATCACGGGACTTAACCAGGAATGGAGACCAAAGAGTCGCCAGGGTAAACCTGTAATCAGCGTAGAACCAGCGTTTGAAATATGCCGTGTCTACTGCATATCTATGAGAAATATCCTCGGAATGGGTCACCTGAAAGATGAAGATCAGGAATGAGAATCAAATTTATATTAGAAAAGCTGCTCAATTTTGTGCCTCTAATTTGGCTTGTAGAGTTCTTGATACGGATTGTCTGGTAAATAAAATAACTACATCCTAGCAAATTCTGGTCTAATTTTAAGATATTTAAGTTTAATGGTGTCAGTTATTACAACATGGAGTTTATAACTCGAGTTTCTTGGTGATTCAATCCATATCTATGGATATATGCTATGAGCAGTGATTGAGCACGCACTTACACTGGCTAAGAGACACAGCAATGATTGCATTTGGTTCCTACCTACGGAGTCTCCGACGAAGGCCATCTTCTTCCCTTTAACAAGTTCCAAGAACAGCTTTGCATTAAAGAACGGTAGCTCACATTCGTCTGGTCTCCACCTCCATTTCATGAACTCTGTATCAGGTCTCCCAGACTTCACGCAATTGTGCTGGTCGATGATTAGGCTACAAGTTGCATCAGTGTAGTAAGGCCCTTTGGGATAAGGAATCCATTTTCCACTAAAGATGTCACATTCCTTCACCATTCCTACGTTTCTCAAATCACTGACATCAATCTTAGGAGATGAAAGTGGAGAATGTGAAGTTGAAAACAGGTAGAGAGGGATTGTAGTGAGGAAAACTAGACTGAAGGCTAGCAGCAGCAACCTTTTGGAGGTGCCGTGCTGTAAGTTCTTTCCTCTGGAAAACTCATTGTCATTAAAATTCATGGTGAAGTGAAACAAGTAACTTCGCATTTAGTATATACTATATATGAGCAATTGTTATGGGTTTTATAATGTTTCTGGACATGTATCGAATGTTGACCAATTATTAGTTTTAACAGCTGTTAGAGCTGAGGTTTGAGAGTTCTTGCTGGTTCACAGTTAATACACCTTTTGTCTTTGGTGAAGCATCATTATCTACATTGAATAGTAGCTTTGGAAATTCCTAACCTTTTCGTTTTCCAATCAATTCTGCCATTACCAACCTTAATACAGGTGAAGTTTGAGTATTAAATCACAATCATGATGTAAATGCCCTTTATTTTGGCTAACAATCGTGATCATAATTGAGCACTACGTTTCTCTGTCATATTAGTTTTCATATTATATTTTTCCAGCAGCCTTCCTTGTACCTAAAAATGTTAGCATCATGATACTGATAATATTGACTGTACAGACTTCATAACTAGTTTGTTTGTCTAATAAACGTGCCCTAATCGTATTTACCAGCAATAACTGTAATGGAAATCAAAGCCATGTCTATTAAATTTGCTATGACACACTTTTGATGAGCTTGGAAGCTGGAAATGACTCAAGCCAAGTTTTGAAATAAAGGGTGGAAATGGACTGCATTCCTTTCTGCAGCTGCTCTCATTCCTCATTTTCTAGACACAGAAATGGGTGCACAGTTTTGTCTAGGGCCACATGGGAATGGGAATGCAACAGAATTATAACATGATCAAACGGTAATCACATTTTATAGTCAACAATTCCCAGCAATCACAAGGCTCATGGATACACTGTGCCACCTCATGGTGTTTAGCTTTGAAGGTTTCTTCAAATACAACTACAGGAATGCTCTGTTGGTTGTATTCAGTGCCAAGTGACACAGGCGTGGCTTAGGAGGAAAGTTATCGATGATTGCAAATCGCATTTCTGTGAGATTGGGCACATTTCAACACATTTTTCTTAAGAGGAAAGGTAAGCTTACCTTTTGCTTTGATATCGACTGCTACCTACATCTTTCTGAACTAAAATATCAGCTGAGACACTATTACACGCCCCCACCTAGGGTGACAACCAAGATTGGTGGGACTTCGGAGGCTGCTGAGTTATTCTTTACGCTTTCCTTTATTTGATTTTAAATATTTTTCCCATTTAAATTGATCTGAGAAGAAGGAACTAGCAGTTGGAATTTAGAAGTAATAGTTGTCTAACCACACCAGAATCCTTGTAGACTTGTAAAAACTCACAATTGGGATCGTGATCTTTTTTTTTTTCCCTTGATCTTTTTATTTCAGATAAATCTTATAGCTATTATGATTCAACTTCAAGGTCCAGAACAGGTTTGAGATTGGAAGTTCAAGCTCGTGTAGGAGGCTATTAAGGCAAGACTTGTCTGCATTTTTTAAGTCCAAGACTTGACTGCATTTATTTATCTAGTGATGACCTGGACAAAAACATTGTATCAGTAAGGAAAATGCTAAGAAAATTAATTATCTGGGTTATTTAAGAAGAACAATAATTTAGGTCACAAGGTGATGATGAAGTAGGGTTACATGTCTAGCATTATCTAGGATTAGCGGTGGGGTTACTGGGGTATGCTCAGAACCTCTGATTATTACTGCTAGGGTTGCTCTTATACCACTATATTTAAGATCTAATACATGAAATTGCTTTTCCTTTTCTATAATGATTTTTAAGGTAGTAAGTGACCAAGGGCAGAACAAGAAGAAGAATCCTGCTCCTCTTCCCTTGCTTCCAGGAAACGTTGCCACTGCCTGTCAGTGATCTTATGCAAGATGCTCACTGCTAAAATATGAAAACATTTTATAGAGATACTAGTTAAACATCTTCATTGTGAAAATACAAAGCTCCCGTGATTCATTAGTGCCTAGTTTCTTTGTTTTTTTCCATCTTTTCTGCACTTGAACAGGGCGTTTTAACTAGAACTAGAAACAGCACCATCCTGATTCTAATGATGCTTTTATAATTTTTACCGTCCGTCTCTCAGGAGTTTGGACCATAACCAAATGGAAGATATTGACTCGGAGACGACTGGCAACTTGAAATAAATAATAAACAACAAAACTGGAAATCAGAAACCATGCCTTCCCACACTCCACATGACTCCCCCCAGCCATTTGCCTGATCGAAACCCATCAGATGGCATTGAGCTGAATATTTTGTAGTCTGCTACTGAATGGCTCTTCAGTGCCTTTCCCGCTTCAGCATCTGAAGCAAGAGCTCGTTCCAAGTATCAATAGGGCCTGGTAAGCACCAATGAACACAGTCGGCAATAGTCACATTCTCATGCGGCCAGTGTCCATAATGGTTTGGGTGTCCATCTGGCCTCATAACCATTGCTGCACTTATGTCTAGCAACCTGAAATCTAAGCCCCTCCTTTTTCCTTCCCTTTTTGCTCTTCTGAACTCCTTTACTTGAGTCAAGTATAGCTCCAAATCACCCCCTTCCAATTTCATTTCTCCATTAGAAACGGGCTGCGTCCTGACACAATTGCCTCCTTTATTCCATTCCCCGTTCTCAAAATGTGCCGGTGACAAGGTCCTCAAAAATGTTACACCACTGAACCTTGCAAGGCTGAGCAGGGTCTTGAAAGAAGTTCTAAAAGCCTTCCTGTATCCATAGAACATTGTGAGGTTCTTAATGGTGTTCTTAAGACATCGATGGCATCCAACAACCTTGCCATTC